CTGAAATATTTGCTTTTGTTTCTTGACTTCTGCTTCCATGATTTTTTATTGTGGCTGCAAGTAAATTGAAGTCTTTGACAACTTCAGTCTTTAGTTTATTGTTCCAGTTGTCAGGATTTTTGCTTTGTTTACATTGAGTTGTAATCCATACAGAGGGCTGTATTCTTTGATCTTCATCAACGAGTGCTTCAAGTCCTCTTCAATTTTGCCAAGCAAGGTTGGGCCATCTGCATATCACAGGTTGTTAATGAGCCTGCCTCTAATCCTGATGCTGTGTTCTTCTTTATACAGTCAATCTTCTCAGATTATTTGCTCAGCATAGACAGTTAATAAGCATGGTGAAAGGACAAAATTCTGCTGCACTTCTTTCCTGATTTTAAGTTATGCAGAAGCTCTTGTTCAGTTTGAACGACTGCCTCTTTTTCTATGTACAGGTTATGGATAAGCACAATTAAGAGTTCTGGTATTCCCATTCTTCTCAATGTTAGCCACAATTTGTTATGATTCACACAGTCAAATGCCTCTGCTGTCAATAAAACACAAATAAACATCTTTCTGGTATTTTCTGCTTTCAGCCAAGATCCATATGACATCAATAATGATATCTTTCACACAAAGTTCTCTTCTGAATCCAGCTTGAATTTCTGGAAGCTCCTGTTTTAATTATACTCAGCAGAATTTTACTTATGTATGATAGTAATGATATTGTTTGATAATTGTTGGGTCACCTTTCCTTGGAATGAGCACAAATATGGATATCTTCCTGTCAATTGATCTGACAGTTTTCTTCAAAATTATTGGGATGGAAAAGTGAGTGTCTCCAGCACTGCATCTGTTGGTTGAAAGATTTCAATTTGTATCCCATTAATTCTTGGAGTCTTGCTTCTTACCAATGTCTTCAGTGTAGCTTGTACTTCTTTCTTCAGTACCATAGGATCTTTTCTTTCAGAGTTTTATATATGTCTCCCCATTGCCTTATTGCCTACACAGTTTCTGCTGAGAGATCTGAGCATAATCTGATTTTCTTGCCTTTGTAAGTAACACTTCTAGCTGCTTTCAGGATTCTCTCCTTATCTTTGATTTTGGAAATCTTGATTATAATATGTCTTGGTGATTTTCTTGTGGAGTCTATCTTTTCTGGGGTTTGTTGTTCATTTTTCAGGACATTAGGGAAATTTTCTTCCATCAACTCTTCAACTATCTCCTCTGTGAACTTGTGTGATTCTTCCTATTCCAGAATGCCATTAATTCTTAAGTTATTCCTCTGCATGTTGTCCCACATGAATCTTAGACATTCTTCAGAATTTTTTTATCCTTTTTTCTGCTTACTCTTCTAATTTAGCAGTATTGAGAGATTTGTCTTCCAGCTTGCTAGTTCTGACATCCATCTCTTCAATTTTATTCCTTTGCCCTTTCACTGTATTGTCCATTTCTGATATTTTATTATTAATCATTTAGACTTTTTGCAGGTTTTGAATAGTTTCCAATGGTGTATCTATCTTGATTGTTCCTGTAGTGCTTTCCTGACTTCTTCCTTATTTTTCTCAAACCTTCTGTGGAACATTTGGATGCACCCCAATATCTTTCTCCTGAGTTCCTTCTCAGGCATTTCCAAAGCCTGCCCTCCTTCCAGTGGGAAATATAGGTCTATCTCCAGCTCATTTGTCTCAGTAACTCTATCTCATTTCTGGACATGTGCCAATATGGTCAGTTGTTTGTTGGGCATCTTAAAAAATTAGGTGTATTTTCAATAATTAGATGAATGTATATTAATGTATTATTGAGCTTTTTGAGGGCCTTCAGATAGATGTGATCTGGAGAGGGGCTTCCCTTTTCACTTTTCTTATTACTAACTCAAAGTAACTATAGCAGGTGTTGGTTGTCTATCTGGTGTATAGTAGCTGCTATTGGCTCTTGCCTAGATGGTGGGATTTTACAGGGTGTGATTGCAGCTTGTCTATATATCCACAATTGTTGTCTCTTTTTGGGTAACACAGGGAGAGAAAGAGCTCCCTGAAGGGATACGGTATACCAAACAGCAAAGCAGCAATAGCAAAAAACAAACAAACAAACAAACAAAAACCCCACCAAAAAACAGATTGGGTACTACAGACTATAACTGCATAAAAGAAAAGATGAAAATAAAAAACTGTAGCAAAATATGAGTATGACTCTAATGCTCTCGCTTTCAAGGCTGCCTGAGACATTTCGAGATGTTATTGTTGTTCCTTATGAGGTAACTCAGGACATAATTTTTGGCCTTTTACCTTTTCAGTCTGTCTCTCTTCCACTCTACAACCCCCGTTCAGGGATTTTTCATAGTGATAAACAGTTTAGAGCCTGCTGTTTTGAGGGGACCATTTGATTTTAAACAGTGCCTTCCCCCTTCTTAGATTCTGTGGCAGAGTCCTTTGCTGGGCAGATCCATGCGCATGTGTAGTAGAATCCTCTGGGGGTGGGGTGGGTGGTGTCCACTTGCTCAGGCACCCCTCTAGTTACCAGAGTGGTGTTGTGCAGATAGGAAAATGATAATGAACAGAGAGAAAAAAAAGAATGTCCACACCTTTATCTCCGAGGATTGGTAAGACTGTTGCCGTGGGAGCACTCCTCTGATCCTTCACCTGCTCTGTCACACCCAAGATGGCTGTCCCAGGAGGTGCTGGGAGCCGCAGATCAAAAAACACTACCGTTCTTGCTTCTACTACAAATTCCACTGGCTGTAAGCTTTCAAACTATCTAAATATTTCATTATGTGTAGTTCAGAGTTCTGGAACTGCTTCATCTGGTATTCTGTGTTATTGCTGGTGGAGGTTTGCATTACACTTCTCGCTAATCCACCATCAAGCCCTACCTCCCAGTACCATAGGTTCTTGATCATATGCTACCTCTTGAAATGGTTGATCACTGATCATTTCTCTTTAGTGAAGTGCATTCCTTCCATTCTCTTTGGATACTTCCTGCATTGTTCAATATTTTCCCCAGAGGGCCTTTAAATATTGTAAGTATTTTCTTCAGTGCTTTCAGCTGGAGAAATATTAAGCATGTTCTTCATTTTTGGTTTTCTAACTCCTGGTCTTCGCACATTTCATTTAACACTTTCCTTTGTCTTCTAGAGCTGCCCTGTGAAACTTTCTGTTCTGCTCTTTAACTTCATCATTTCTTGTTCCATTACTAGCTTTAGTTTATAATATTATCTTAAGCAAGTTTCAGAATCTCTTCTGACATCCACTTTGGTCATTTCTTTCTTTTATAAATGTATGATGGTTTTGAGGTTGTCCCACAAGTCCCCTGGTCTTTAGTCATTAGTGTCCAAGGTATCATTTAGATGCTCTCTAAATTCATGTGGAATATATTCAAGGTCATATTTTGACTTTCATGGACTTGTTTTCATTGTATGAACAATTTAAGATCTGTTCTATAATCGGCTCCTGGACTTGTTTTGGCTGATGATATTGAGCTTCTCCATTGTGTCTTTCCACAGATATAATCAATTGGATTCCTGTTTATTTCATCTGGTGAGGTTCATGTATATAGTTCTCTTTTATAATGTTTAAAAAGGGTATTTGCAATGAATAAATCATTGGTCTAGCAAAATTCTATCAAGTGATCTCCAGACCACTATCATCAAGACCATATTTCCTAACCACCAATCCTTTTTTTCAACTTTTACATTCCAATGAATAGTAATTTTCTTGTCTGCATATTTGATCAATTTCAGACTGAAGAAGTTGGTAGAATTCTTTAATTTTTTTCATCCTTGGCTTTAGTGGTTGGTTATTGGAATAATAGTGGTATTATGTAATCTTACTTGTAGGTGTACAGATGTTATCCTATCACAGATGGCATTGTATTTGAAGAAAGATGGTGAAATATTCTTTTGTCAATGAATGTAACACCGTTTCTCTTCAACTTGTCATTCCCAGCATAGTAAACCATATGATTGTCAGATTCAAAATGGCCAATATCTGTCCACTTCAGCTCTGTAGTGCTTAGGATATTTAGATTCACATCTTCCATTTAATTTTTTGATGACTTCCAATATTCCTTGATTCAGACTTGGTACATTTCATGCTCCAATTAATGGATGTTTGCAGCTATTTCTTTTCACTTAAAGTCATGTCCCATCAACCAATGAAGGTCACAAAAACCCTGTTTTACTCAGATCATTAAAGTCCACTCTACTTTGAAGAGGCAGCTCTCTTTTCCTATTTTGAATGCATTCCAACCTGAAGGTCTCATTTATTATTAGACAATGTTTCACTGCTATTCATAATGTTTTCAGCACCTATTCCTTCTTACTAGTCTGTTCTTAGTGCGGAAGCTCTGCTGAAATCTGTCCATCACAGGTGATCCTGCTGGTATTTGCATCACCAATGGCATAGCTTCCAGCATTACCGCAACACTCAATCCACCACAGTATGAGAAACTGAAGGACATGTGCTTTAGGTTTCTATAAAACTCTAAAAATGGAATTAACCTTTTAGATATTTAAAATTGAAATAATTTTCAGGAGACTTGTATAGTTCAAGTCATGTGGATTTCTTGATATGCACATAATTTTGTCGTTGCTTCTTGTATGGAACTTTCTCAGAGCAATATTGCTCATTCTTACCAAAATATGAACATAAAGAAAACTCATCTCTGATTCAGTTTACTTACTGAAACGTAAGGAAATAAGGATAACGCTATGGCTCTTTATATGGGTAAATTACTTCATCAAAATCCTGTGATCATTCTATCCTAATTATCTAATTATGTAAATACATATGTTTGGTCACTACTATGCACAACATAAAATTTAGAACATGGATGGCTTGTCATAAACCATGACAGATACATATTTGGTGCTAAATAAGTATTCATTTTAAGATCAAATAAAAACATTAATGAATGCAAATTTAATGTAAGCATTTCATGTTCATTTCTCATATACAGTCAGTGTCAAATATTTTTACATTTATTACTAAGCAAATAACAGGTCTGGTTACTCATACATTTACCTGAATAGTGTCTGCACATTTACAATTGTTTTAGCATCTGCCATATAGTCTTCCTCAGCACTCATGGTACTTTCTTTATCCACAACCACCATATTGGCAGCAAAAGTCACTCCACACCTGAGTAAATCATCTAGGCTTTTATAAAAATAGAGAAAAAAATGACTTTAAATATATTACAATATAAGGATCAGTGCTACATTTTGCCTATTGAGTATGTATAGATTACCCTTATATATGGTTTCTGAAGAGTGTACAAAGGTAGATAGTAATGGGAAGCAGAATGCAATATTCTTTACTGATAGGAAAATCAGTATATGTTTTAGTTCTTTACATTTCATATTTCAACTATTTCAAAATGCATGCATTATAAATATTTATTTGCTGTAATTTATTAATTACATAAATGAAAAACAGAAACCATTCATTTTATAATCATAGAAAAATAACACTTTAGATTTTTGTTTTTACAATTTATATACACTATTTCAAAGATTCAACATTTTTTCAACTAAAACACACATGATAAGAGTACAAATGAATAATTCCTACATTAATTTAGATGGCCAGGAAATATTTATATTTAAAAGTTGGCTAGGTTTTTGTGTTAGCTATATCTTATAGACTGCATATACACAGCCATGAGCATGTGTGATATTATAAATATGTGTTATATTCAAGCCTACACGCTAGTCAGCCTAAGTTTGAATAACATGGCTTCTTTGACTGCATTAAATAATTGCTAAACTAGGGTCCTGGTGCAGTGATATAGGACAAACACTGGACTGCTAACCACAAGTTTGGCAGTTCAAACCCACCAGCTCTTCCATGGAAGCTCTGCATAGGCTCTTAATGGACTCAATGGAACTTTAAAAACAACAATAAAAGAAACAAGGGTTCAAATTCTAATGAGCAATAATAGAGTCAGCTATCTTTCTTGTTATTGATTAAAATCTTTACCTATCATTCTCCCAATGAATTAAAAAAAAATTACCTTTACCACTGAAGCTGGAACAGGGAAATTATTATTCTCACTGCCTCTGCTTCATATAAATTAGAAAATTAGGATGGTACTGAGTGAAGAAGACTGAACTTGAGGGAGAGCAGGAATACTCTAGGCACATTGTTGATTGAAAAGTTATAAAGAGATGAGTAAATTGGTTTTGACATCTTTTGATTTAAAATCTGAAGTGAAAAACTTTAAGAACTTTCATTTTTCATAGAGTCTTATTTTAAGAGTCAGGTCCCTGAGAATCTTTCCAAAGTGCATAACCAGTTGCATGAATTGTACTATATAGAGGGAATTATTTTCCTTTTACAGCAAGCAGGAGGCAGGATTTCCTACTCTGTTATTCATGAGATAGTATTGCCAATACTTGAGTCCAAAAATTCACTTGACCTAAGAACAATATTCTATGACATATTGTAAGGCTAAAACTGTAGAAATAGAATGTTATTCCAAATGAATTTCCTATAACGAGAGGATCACAGCATCCAATCAATACAGTGGGTGCCCTTCAAGGTTCATTTCTATGAGCAGCTGGTTTTTCTTTGATCTAAGAAATTCTGAATTCATCTTACATCTATAAAAATTCCTTATTTTTCATAAAGGAAGACTAGATGGAAGATAAATGTGATATTTCTCACTATGGACCATAAAATGATGCTTAAGTCATAATTTCAGACCATCTTATCATTTTAAATTACTTTCTCATGTCAGTTGCTGCACTCCCTTTTTACTCTATTTTAAATAATGTCAAGCCACTTTCTATATATAATATGAAAAATAAGCTGGTGGATGGTATGTTTAACTCGATAAAGGTATACACATAGAATTTATGATTGTTGCTGTTGTTAGGTACCGGTACATTAAGTCAGTTCCGGCTCATAGCAACCATAAGTACAATGAAACGCTGATTTTAAACCATTTAATAGCCCCTTATTCTGTTCAGACAACTGCCTCTTGGTCTATGTACAGGTTCCTCATGAGCACAATTACTTGTTCAGGAATACTCATTCTCTGAAATGTTGTTCACAGCTTGTCATGGTCCACACATTTGAAAGCCTCTGCATAGTCAAAAAAGCACAAGTCAACATCTATCTGGTATTCTCTGTTTTTAGCCAAACTCCATCTGATGTCAGCAATGATCCTGCTTGAACCTCTGGAAGTTCCTTATCAATATTCTGTTGCAGCTGTTTTAAAATTATCTTTAGCAAAATTTAACTGTCATGTGGTATTGATACTATCCAATGATTTCCGCATTTTATCTGGTCACCTCTCTTTGGAATGGGCATAGATATGGATCTCTACCAGTCAGTTGTCCAAGTAGCTGTCTTCCAAATTTCTTGGCACAGATGAGTGAGTGCCTCCAGTGCTGTATTAGTTTGTTGAAAGATTTCAGTTTGTATTTCATCAATTCCTGGAGCCTTGTTCTTTGGCAATCCCTTCAGTGCACCTTGGACTCCTTCCTTCAGTACCTTAATCATACTACACTACCCCTTGAAATGGTTGAACATCGACCATTTCTTTTTGGAACAGTAATTGTGCTTTTTCAACTTTTTTTGATGCTTTCTGCATTATTCACTATTTTGGCCAACAACTCCTTCAATATTTCAAGTTGAGACTTGAATGTTTTCCTCAGTTCTTTCAGTTTGAGAAATACTAAGTGTGTTCATCCCTTTTAATTGCATAACTCCAGATCTTTTCACATGTCATAATATTTGACTTAGTCTTCTCCAGTTGCCATTTGAAACTTCCCAATTAGCTCTTTTATTTCCTCATTTCTTCCATTTACGTTAGCATCTCTATGTTGCAGAGTGAGTTTCAGAGTCTCTTCTGACATTCATTTTGGCTTTTTCTTTCTTCCTTGTCTTCTTAGCTATTTTTTGTTTTTTTCCTGTGTGTTATTCTTGATCTCATCACACAACCCTCCTGGGTTTTCAGCATTACTGTCTAATGCATCACATCTATTCTTGAAATGATCTCTAAATGCAAGTGGATATATTCAAGGTCATATTTTGGTTCTTGTGAACTGTTTGCATTTTCTTCAGGATCAGCCTGAAGTTGCATATGAGTAATTGATGGTTTCTTCCATAGTGTACCCCTGGCTTTGTTTAGGCTTATGATATGGATCTTTTCCTCCATCTTTTCCAGAGATGTAGTCAATTTGATTTCTGTATATGCCAATTGGTGAAATCCATGTTTACAATGATCTTTAATGCTGTTTAGAAAATGTATTTGCAATTCCAAAGTCATTAGTTTTACAAAATTCTATCATCTCATCTCCAGCATAATTTCTATTACCAAGTCCATATTTTCTAACTACTGATCCTTCCTCTTTATTTCCAATCTTTGCAATCCAACCATTAATAATTATCAATACATCTTGATAGAAAGTTTGATCAAGTTCAGACTGTAGAAATTGGTAAAATTCTTCAATTTTGTTATCACTGGCTTTAGTGGCTGGTGCATAAATTTAATAATGGTTTTAACTGGTCTTCTTTATAGGCATATTGATAGTATCCTATCACAGACAGCGTTATACTACAAGGTAGATCTTGTAATGTTCTTTTTGGTGATGAATGTAATACCATTGCTCTTCTATTTGTCATTCCTGGCATAGTAAACCATGTGATTGTCAGATTCAGACTGGCTAGTGTCAGTTCATTTCAGATCACTAATGCCGAGGATATAACTGCTTATGATTACATTTCATTTTTTACAACTTTTAGTTGTACTAGATTCATTCTTTTTGTACATTCTATGTTCCAATTGTTAATGGATGTTTGCAGCTGTTTCACCTCATTTTGAGTTGTGCCCCATTAACTATTGACGGTCCCATATGTTGTACTCCATTTGTGTCATCAGAGAGAACTCTAGTTTGAGGAGTCAGATTTTCCCAAGTTGTATTTTGAGTGCCTTGTAACTTGAAGGGTTCATCTTACATCACTTTATCTGCCAACATTCTGATGCTATTCAGCAATTATGATAGGGAAGTTAAATTTAGTTTCAAAAATAATGTAGTGAAGTTGAATTTCAACATTGACAAAAAAAAATTCTCTAGCAAAATTATTGTACTAAGTAGCTGTCGGCTATCTATGACCCTATGTATCAGTTAATTCTATCCTCAAAACACTGGCTGCTGTAGTTTACACTGTCATAGAAAACTGTCAATAATTTTGATTAAGAATGAAAATGTATATAGAAATTAATTAAAATTTGAACAGCATTTCTGAATGATCTTTAACTTTTTGGTTCATATTTTCACTTTAAACAGTGATTTTTATGTATTATATTTGCTACATTGAATTTTAATCTTAAAAAAAAATCTGATTTAGTAAGCCACAGTTGTTTTACATAATTTAGCCAGCAGATGGAGTTTCAAGAAAGAAGCCAATTCTGGACAAAAAAATAATCATAGATAGTCTGGCAATGCTTTCTCAAGGTGGTATGAGTGTGAGGAGTGTTTGAAAGTAGCTCATTTATTCACAGGTGTTTTTGTATTTTTTAATGGAAAATATTAAATATACACAAAAGAGACCTGTATAGTGGACCTCTGTATCACTTAACTTCAGCACTTACCTGCTTATCTTAAATCTATTGCTAAGGATTTTACTATCTCAGTTTTCCTTCACCTTGCTGCCATTAAGTCTCAATTTTGTAGAGAAATCACATAAAATCTTACTTTTCCATTAAAAAAAATAGCTAGAATATTTTAACAAAAATGTCAGAATTTAACAAGTGAGAACTGTCATCACTTGTATTGTATCCTATAAATTAGAGAAAACATATCTACTTTTTCTGTGAAATGAATTATTTCTCTATAAAAGTTAGAAGTAATGGCATCAAGGGAAAGAAAACTGAAAGCATGAAATCCTATAAAGGGTCTGAACATTCGACTGACCTTAACTCCAATATACATTACTAGAACCAAGTAAACTTTACAGAACATGCTTCAGCTTATAAATCTGAATTTTAACTTGAACATTTCTAAATTAATTTTGAAGGTTTTCTGGAAGTAATGTTAATGATACCAATGCAAAATAATGTTGAATCTTGAGGGTATTTTTCTATCACTGTCAATACTCATAATGATAATCTTATAAAATTCACAAAGCTGAAATACTTTTAGAAACTGAGCAAATTTGACAATACTGACATGCAACAAAATTTGGAGGTTTTTTCCAACACTTGAGTACTGCTAAGTAACTTTGAGTGCAAGATGTATATAGCACAAAGCTCTACATGCAAAGCTCTACATCTTTGCTATACTGACATGACAAAGTACACTCATCATGCAGTAACAAGGCACAACACATGACAAACCACAGGACATGACACTTGTCAATGTGCCAAAAATTTGGTCACCTACTTGTCAATAGAGCCCACCATGTAGTAAACCATTGGAAACCAACAAATTGCATCCAGAAAATGCATATCTGGCCTAAGTAGCAGATGGGTTACAAAATGAAACACAATGTCACACAGTGGTAATACTTCTAGGAAAAGAAGTAAACTGACTTAATTTGCATTTCCAAAACTAAATAATGCTAACAAGATTAATTTTAAGGTGATATTATTTGTTAACATTAATTAGAAACTGTCATTTGCACTTGTTATGAATAATATAATGTACTCAGAATCATAAAAGCAATTTGTATTTCAAATTTCTAAATCAGAAACATTATGGCATAATTCTACCAAAATACTGAATTGATCCTTTTATTTATGAATGAAAAAACTTTTTCAGTGAATTTTAAATTTACTGATATGAAGGAAGCCTTGCAAAATAAAGAAATAATGATTTGCTTCTTAGATAAGCTTAAGAATAGAGAACCAAAATAGAATAATGATTAAGGACAACCTTCTCTAAGAAATATTTAGTTAGAATGACAACATGCCTCCTAATATACCAAAACGCAAAAAAATGCATATGTACCAATAAAAAATATACATTACACAAAATTAAAAGCAAAGTACGTTACTTTTTGGAGTCCTGGTGTGTCACTATAGGATACACACTGAACTGCTAACTGTAAGGTAGGCAGTTCAAACTCACCAGTTGCTCCTCAGAAACCCTATACAGGGTTGTTATCAGCTAGAACTGACTCATTGATCTTAACAGCAACAACATATGACTTTTAATTTTATGTACTCAGTATTTATTATTGTTCAAATATTTATTATGATTAAAATATTGGGGAAATAATTATAAACCTGAAAGATTCCTTATAAATCATTTAATCTATTACATTTACTTTGCAAAGTTATTAATTGACTCATTCACCTATTCACCCAACAGATAGGTACCAAAATATATTATATACTTTAATGTACTTATACATGTGCAGAAAAGAGTATAGGTTTAACTATAAGAAATAGAGTTTGGGTAATATATATAAAGAAGCACAACATTATAATGCATCTTTTAATCTGAAAAACAGGTAATGTGGCACTGTAAGATAAGCACTAAGCTACTAATTGCAAGGTCGGAGGTTCAAAACCATCAGCCGCTACTTGGAAATGCTATTGAGGGTTGCTATGAGTCAGAACCAGTTCCATGGCACTTAACAATAACGACAACACATTGCACTGCAGAGGCAGTATTGGGTAATATTCAAGAGGTAACATCTAATATGTATGTTGAAGGATACATAGGAGTTTACCTGGTGAAAGAAGAGAGGAACATTCAGGCAAATAGAATTATAGTACCTATATTTTCCCAAGTACTTCTCCCCAGCGAAGGGGCCATGGTGGTGGCATGGGTTAGATGTTGTGATGCTAACTACAAAGTCAGAGGCTCAAACCCATAAGCCATTCTGTGGGAGAAAGATGAGACTGTCTGCTCATAAAATGTACAATCTCGGACACACTAAACACCAGATCTACTCTGTCCTATGCGGTCACCATGAGTTGCTACTGACTTGATGGCAGTGGGTTTGATTTCATTCTAGTATTGCATGCTAGGTCAATTCTTTTCCTCCCTGACTTACCTTCTTCCTGCTGACCATTCTTTTTGTATACTAAAGATAAAATGCTCAACACAGAGAAGTATAGAAACAAAAACTTACCAAAAACCGTCACTGTTGTAATTTTGATTAAATTTCTTTGTGACTTTCTAAACAACCTCAAATTATTATGCTTAATAAATATAACACCACAGTCAATTTAAAAAGTCTTCAATTATTGAATTCGGAAGTTATTTTGAATATTTGTTACTAATCATTAGAGTTCTATGCTATTTCCGGAGCACTAGACCATAAGGTCAGTTTGCACCTCAAGGTTGGCGGTTCAAACTCACTAGTCACTCATTGGAAACCCTATACAGGGTCTCTATGAGTCAGAACCAACTCCATGATACTTATCAACAGCAAGCTATTTCTGGGATATAACACCAGAATGGAATCGATGGTTAACATTTTAATTTTTTTCATTGTTATTTATAATGCACTTCTAAGCTTTTATTGAAGACATATTAGTAAATCAACAGTTATATTTTTAAGCTGTTGATGTTTGCTTGTTTTTGTTATCCGTATTTTGATTATATATATATGTATTAGTCCAAAAATAAAATTTCAATATATAATCCCAGTAGCAGCAAATGATAGTGCATATTGTAGACTTCTAACTTTTTTATCTTTCTGGACACTTTCCTTTTTTTTAAGGAGAATCATCCAGGCCAAATAATATAACTGCTGATACAAAACCCTGCAGGTCTCTCTCTTTTTCTGTTTTAGTGGTTCTGTAAGCACATGTGAAGGTACAAACGTTTAGCCTGGGCTGCTGAGGCATTGTATGGAAGAAAGTTATTCTGAGCCACCTGAACTTTCATTTATGTCTGTGTAAGACAAAAAAAAAAAAAAAAATGTTTTCACCACTGAGACTTTGGTTGTTTGTAAAACTCTTTCATCTACATCTTTTTCTGATTATTTTTATTTCATCACTCTTTGATTATAAATTTTATATAGTCGTCAGAAAAAGTAGCTAAAATATCCATATTTTTTATGCCACAGAGTTGAGTCCATACGTCTTCATTATTAATTGCAGGTGTATACTGTGGTTGAAATAAATGCCTTTTTGACTTGATTTGTCCTTTTAGGTTAATATTTCAATTTCTTCATGTGGTCTTCTCTCACAGATAATCTCCTGCAGCAATATTTAAGATTATTGAATCAATTAATTAAATAAATATATTGAAAGTTTTCTGTGTAACAGGAAGCACTAGGGTCATAGGAGACACAGTAAGTCCTTATACTATGCCAATCCTGTTAGGGTCAAACTAAAAAGGTCTCTTTCTATTTTGTTCCTTTTTCAGTGTTGTTGTTAGGTGCCATTGAGTCAGTACCAACTCATAGTGACTTTATGCATAACAGAATGAAACACTACCGGTCCTGGGCCAACTTCACAATTGTTGCCAGGCTTGTGCCAATTGATGCTGCCACTTGGCCAATCCATCTCACTGGGGGTCTTCCTCTTTTTCTCTGACCCTCCAGCTTACCAAACATGATAACCTTCTCCAGTGACTGTTCCCTCCTGACAATATGTCTGAAGTATGAGAGATGAAGTTTGTCCATCCTGGCCTTCTAGGAGCACTCTGGCTGCACTTCTTCTAAAACAAATCTATTGGTTCTTTTGGTAGCCCATGGTACTTTCAATATTCTCCTCCAACACCATGACTCAAATGCATCAATCCTTTACCATTAGAGATCACTAAAGGTACCTGGGGATCAAAATGATGGCCTTGATCTAAAAAAATTCATGACTTTCAGTAATGCGCAATTTGGCCATGAATGTGTATTTATAATGTACATTAAATCTTTAGAAATTCAAACTAATATCTATACTGTGATAACATATAACATCGCTTACATGAATTTAGCTATGTTATAAGCTAAACAAAATCCCTGAAAACGAAGTACATACATAATCCTGATGAATCACTAGCTAATGTAGAGAACCTAATATATAATACTGCTTGCAAATGTATTTCATTTGCTACTGTTGATCTTGATAGGGATGGTTTATAAGGAAACATGAAAGGTATTGAATAAACGAATTGTATAGTTACTCATATTGTGTTGGCTCATTTATATAAATTGAAAAGAACGTTTATGGCACTGAACCATTTATTATTGTTATTGTTAGATGCCACTAAGTCAGTTCCAACTCACAGTTGTCCTCTGCACAAAAGAATAAAACACTGCCGGTCCTGGTCCTGTGCTGTTCTAATAATTGTTAAGTTTGAGGCCACTGTTGCAACCACTATGTCAATTCATCTCATTGAGCATCTTTCTCTTTCTTGTTGACCTTCTCCTTTTTTGTTAAGAAACAATTTTATTTGTAAACATTTTTAAATTTTCTCCAATCACCCCTGTGTTACAGAGAGAAATATTACCATGTCTTTCATTCATAAAACATATAAGGAAAAGTGAAAAATATTTGTTCTCTAAAATGCTTTCCTTTTAAGGATTTTATATCACTAAGACAAAATATTCTTCAAGTATAAGAAAGATTCTTCTATAGCTATTTAAAATGCCCCTCAGTGCTTTCACATTGATGAAGAATCATAATCTCCATTAGTTATGCCCTCAAAATCTTTGAAAAAGAAGTCAGTAACCCATTTTGCAGATGTAGAAACTGAGGTGAAGAGTTCTCCTTAGGCTCTATGTGAAAGTGGAGCAAGTCAGAGAGATGATTATAAGTCCCAAAGTAGAAAGTATTTCTACTTTACCAAGCATGACATCTTTCTCCAGGGACTAGTCCCTCCTGATAATATGTCTGAAATATGAGAGACAAAAGTCTTGCCATTTGTGCCTCCAAGGAACATTCTGACTCCTTATACATGTGGCTTAACATACATCTATGCCTTTACATGAGTCTTGGTGTGGGGCTGTAGGATAAGCACTGGGCTGCTAATTGCAAGGTCAGTGGTTCAAACCCATCAGCCGTTCCTTGTAAACCCTATGTTGTTGTTAAGTGCCATTGAGTCAGTTCTGACTCATAGAGACACTGTATAGCATTTCTAAGAAGCAGCTGGTGGGTTTGAATTGCTGACCTTTTGATTCAAAGTCCATTGTTTATCCCACAGGGTTGCTATGAGTCAAACCAACTCGAAGGCACTTACCAATGTCATGTCTTTACAAACAGCTTGTTAGTATTCAGTAATTCCACTTTTTAAAGTGGGTTATTACTTACCCCCCCCCCCCAAATACAAGTATTTTAATACCAACTACACACTTGAAACATTTTCTTCCTTATTTGGATTTTCACATCAACCCAGTTTTCTGTTTGAATACTGACAGCATTGTTTTGATTGACATAAGGGAACTGACATTTCCTGACTGTGTTTTAGAAGATACAATGAGGACACTGGTGACTCAGTGGCAGAATTCTTTGCTGACATGTAGGAGACCCAGGTTTGATAGCAGCCAATGCACCAGCACT